GAGGAGTGGCTGGTGGGTTTGAACCGCCAGCCGTCTGGTTAGCAGGCAAGTGTCTTAGCCACTATGCTACCAGAGCTGAAAATTGTATGAAATTCAAATTTCAGTGTTCATAAATGAAATTTTATTTGAACACAATGACACACGTTCTTTACATATTTTCCAGTTCTCAAACTATGACAGCTTCTTGAAAAAAACTGCACCAAAGACCATAAAAAAAAACAAACTCACTGACATCAAGTCAACTGACTCATAGTGACCCCTATTGGGTTTCCAAAGCAGTAAATCTTTACAGATGTAGATTGCCTCATCTTCCTTTTGCAGAGTGGCTGGGGTTTGAACCACCAACCTTCTAATTAGCAGGCAAATGCCGTAGGCACTGCATCACCAGAACTTCTTAATAAAGACCATATGACCCACAAAGACCTTATAACCCACATAGACTATATAATCCATAAATCCTAAAACTGATCATTTACAGATGAACTGCTAATTCTATGTAAGTGTCTTTAGCCTGTTTCTGAATATTATTTGTATTCCCAGCCTCAACCTCTAGATGGCACAAAAGATCCCTAAGCTTGAATGGAGGTGGGGGGGCCCTACTCTGGTATAGAGGGTATTTAAATGTCCAATTAAGTCATCTCTTAATAGTCAACCTTTCAACAGTAAAAAACATTTTTCAATATGTGTTCAATAAACCAAAATTAAATGTCTAAGCAAAACAAAAGGATTCATTTAGTCTAGAGCTAACATATGCACTAAATTTAGCATTTTCTCACTCATACCTAAAATAAATATGCACCATTAATAAATCTCCTGAGTTTTAATGTGTTTAAATAACATTTTTTAAAATTTTATTTTTACAGTGAATTACACTTCTTAAACTTCCAGGTTTATACAATTAGTTGAGTTAACTGGATTTGAAACTAGGTGGATTGTTTGTGTGTGCAAGGTATTAACTTTTATTTTAACAGAATTCAAAGATTTTAGGACTTTATTGACCACCTTTTTTTTTTTTTAGCATAGTGCAGGCACAGGCACAAATTAGCTTGATTATGTCCAAATTTTACACATGAATCAATAAAAGCAAGAGTCAACCCACATACTTCTTCCATTGACTGTCATAATAAACACATTAGACTCTTAAAAGAAGAATGAAAACTTATACTGCCAGCATGGTAGTATTATTCGTGTTCTATTTAAAATACAGATGCCTCATTTCTGAACAAAAAGGAAAAATGTACCTATACCACTCCCCAGGGGTGTATCAGAGAGAATAATTCTGAACAGCCTTCACCTCAAACTCAGCCTCTCTCACCATTTCTAGCCTTCACCTCAAACTCAGCCTCTCCCACCATTTCTGTCTTCCTTTCTTTTTTCTTCACGTGCAATTATAAATGTTTCCAAAGACAAAAGTTTAAATAGGAAAATGGTGTATTACCTAGTTTAGATAATCATTAACATTTTCATACTTTATTTTTCAGCTCTGGTAGTGTAGTGGCTAAAGCACTTGACTGCTAACCAGAAGGCTGGCGGTTCAAACCCACCAGCCACTCCTCGGAAGGAAGGTTGGGCAATCCTACTTCCGTAG